AGTAAAGAACATTAAAATTGATTTTGTATATAAAAACTCATTTACATTAATCTGAAATTCCTAAATATTAAAAGACAATCTAGGAATTTCCTAGTATGTCTCCGAAAAGTACGAAAATATACTCATAATGATCTGTTCATGGTCAGTTTAAGAAACTTACACTTCGTGAAGAAGACTGAATCTACGTGTTCACTACTACTGTCCAAATGAGGGGAAAAGAGTTGGAACAAAATAAGCTTATATGGAGAGCATCAAAGAAAAGGTCTTTCTGAGTAGACTACCTCAAATTAAAAGGACAGAGTTTTGAGGTCCAAAGGGCCAAAAGGCCATTTCATACTGCATCAGAATATGGCAGGATTTCACATTTAAAGGCCTTTGTAGTACTTCCTCATGGATTAGAAACTGATGCAATTCATTTTTCTTGGTACTGAGAGGCTAAATAATGTGAGTCACCTGCAAGAAAAGCACTGTGGTTTACAGAAATGTCCAAAGGAGCCATGCCACTTGGATTACTTTGCTTAGTGAAGAAGGAAACCTTCCTAACAATTTCCTGCTTTAAATATGAAAAACAGAGGCTAGAGGGATGGTTTGGTTGTTAAGAGCACTTTCTGCTCTTGCAGAGGACAGGGTTTTGTTCCCAGCCCCCACAGGGCAGCCCATAAGCACCTGTAACTCCAGTTCCTGAGGATCTAACACGTTCTTTTGGCCTCCATGGGTATAGTATGTACAGGCACACATATACATTCAGGCAAAACACTCAGATACATAAAATATAAATAAGTCTTTTTAAAAAAAATTTTGAAACCCCACAAAAACAAACAGATTAATTAGTTATTTAAATAAGGACTTTCTAATCATCAGCCCCTGCTGGAAAGCAGGTCCCTTCCTCTCCCATAGCAGAGGCTGTGGGGCTGGAACATTCACACCTTAACAACATCAAAGATCATATTTCTAGTAATAATCAAGGTGCCCTAAGTTATAATACTTGGTCACAAACTATGTATCTAACATGTAAAATTTTCAACTTTTAGTGATTTTGATACCATTTTTAGCATTATTCGGCATTCACAGTTGGCTAACAATTCACCAAATCAAGTTGAAACCTAAAGAGATATAAAAATAAGCTCATTCTGTCTTATAAACAATGAGCCAAGTAAATCATTTCAATTAGAATTATTTCTTCATTATCAAGTAAAAATTCTTTGAAAAACCACTGCTCTGAAATCTTTCAAATTCTGACAGTGTCTATAGTGTGAAGGCAATGCAAATTATTAAACCCTAAGAAAATTCCTACCCTATAATCCCACTTGGATTTTTAGAGAGCAGGGCAAGGGGCTCTTGTGAGCTTCTAAAAATAATGCTATTTGTCAGAGTCCTATTTTAAGTTTCACAGGGGAGGGCGGAGAAGAGTGTTAGCAGTGTACTAAGGAACGGAGTTAGAGTCACAATTAAAATTGTGAGATGTTAAACTTCATTATGAAGACAAATAGGAAAGTGCAACTTCATTGTTGAGAACAATTTCCCTCCTATCAGTCCAAGGATTCATGCATCAATATTGTAGATGAACTGTTAATTACAAAATCAATTAAAAATTATTTCTAAAAACAGTCACGTATCCCTGGATCTCATGGGGGCAATTTGGGCAGAAGGTCTCATCTTGTCTGGACCGCGCCAAATCACAAAGTCGTCATCCACAAGTAAGCAAAAGCAATCTGGTTTTTCATTTTTCAGCGCGGCTGAGCCCAGCCTGAGATTGATCGTCACATATGGCCCCAGAAAACAAACTGTCAATACCTTGAATACTGCAGAATTTGAACAAATAGCCATCCGCCCATCAGCCACTCATTGCATCCCATTTAACAGATTTTATTGACAGTTTCCTTCTTGTAATTAAAGGGAAAACTACTGGCCGGCAACCAAGATAAAGTTCAAAGATAGGGTCAAAACAAAAGCAGATAGGGGCACGGTGTGACTGTCAATGGCACATAGCTTCAGAGCCGTTATTGACACGCAGGTATCTAATGATCCGTCGTCATTAGGAGGGATCTAGCCTGAACTTTATGCAAATGCTGAAAGAGACTTAAGACTACAATCCAGCATTAGAGAAGGTACAAAAGGATGAACGGCAGAGCGCCAATTACTTTTACTTACCAGAAGTGGATTCCTATTTGGGCACATTTCAATTGAAATGCAAAGAATATTTATTCCCCTAACTCTTGGCCGTTACTGTGTAGGTGATACCTTTGAGGAAATCACTGCTTCCAGAGAATTTGACTTCTAGAGAATTCCAGAATGTAAGAAACTCTTTCATCATGAAAACAAAGCAGCACTGCATGGATTTTCTCAATTGCGAAATTTGCATTTTTGAGAGGAAATGGGGGGCGAGCTGCTCAGTAACTCATTTAAGTTGAGTTGTGCAGAGATAACAATGGAGCTAATTTTGTCCCAAGTGCCCATTTGTGTAAGTCCCTCAAGAGCTTTTGCTTTGCTATGGTCCAAATTAGTAAATGCAAAGGTGGTAAAAGTGTCACCGCTTTCAGTGAGGGGGTAAAATGAAAATCCTCCCCTCTACGTGTATTTTTTTTTTTCTTTTCTAACTTTTCACTAGAAAGCTCCACTGACTATAATTTTGTTGACTCATGCAGAATTTACAAACCAGGTCTAGCAAATCCTTGAAGAAGTGGAGGGAACGGGTAAAACTGACATCGTTAAAAATGTGACATTGACCACGTCAATATGCCAACCTGAATTAGCAAGAGCTATTGCTTTGAGGGTGACGAATTCTTCTTTCTCCAGTTTCATGCCCTTGTATTTCTTCACCAGCTGCAGGATGGCATTATTTAGGTCAAGAAGGCCTGCTAATTTGGACTGGTCTTCGTCCATAATATAATCGTCTGCATAGACAAGTTCATCTTCAAACGAAAGGGATCGGTAGACAACACCAAGGATCAAAATTTCCATCCAAGCACTCTGCAGAAGGCTCATCTGATCCGCCAGGGACAGTGTGGAAAAGCCTGCAGGGGAAGACGGGCAGATCAAGTTACTTAAAGCATATCTTGAATGTAACATTAGCATCCTAGGGTGGGCTCCCTGGCATCAGAGCTCTAAACAAAGCTGAGCTCTCGGGGAAGCTCTAAGCACCCCCTCATCCCTCTGTAAGCAGCCATGTAAGTCACAAGCCAGTTTCAATGGGTTCCTGGTTTTATTTTAGAATTCCAAACGGGCTGCAACAAACGTAGAGTTATCTTTCCTTCATTTGCAAAGAAAATGCTTGGTCATCGTTATCCCTTTTCCCCTACTAAAGTTTTTAAGAATGCACTGAACAAAGTGATATTTCAGCTACTTTCAAGTACCTCGTTTTTAAAAACTAATATTGATGAGGATGATAACAGTTTAAAAAATGCCAAAACCCAGAAGCAAACTTTAACCACATAATATAATAGACTACAACTTGGAAACATTTCTCTTCTATTTACAATTGTCATGAGATGAATTAATATCAAATGAACTGTCTCAGTTGGAAATTTGTTCCTACAAATATTTAATATAAATTTCTTTTCAGAATGGTGACTAGTGTATAAAGAAAAGGAAATAGCTGCCTGGCCTCCTTGTCAAACAGGAAACCCACAATTTATTCTTACTGTTAAGTTTCAGCAATTTAAAAAACTAAATATAAAACTAATTGCATTTGGTAGAAAGAACAGAGCAGTAGCAATCCTGAATGTAAATATCGGTTCCACTCAGGAGCCAGCTATGTCAGCTAAAGAGGATAATGAACTGAAACTTAGTTTTTGCATTTGAGAAAAAAATGTGATTCATCTAAATACTAGCTCACAATATATATTTGAGAAGTATTACTACATTATGCCTTATTTCTATCTTAATATCTGACTATTCCCTTTATTGAAACTTTAGGCACCATTCACAGTGACATATTCAAAACTTTATCTAAGCTTGAGAAAACAAAACCCAAAATTTAAATAATAGAATCAAATCTGGGGGTTGGAGAGGTGGCTCAGCAGTTAACGAATACTGGTTGTTCTTTCAGAAGACCCGGGTTTGAATCCCAGCACCCACATGGCAGCCAACAACTGTCCGTAACTCTAGTCCCAGGGGATCCCACAGCCTCTTCTGACCTCCCTGGGCATTGTACTACACAGGTGCGCTTACCTACATACAGGCAATACACACATACACAAATAATAAACAATATTTTTTCAAAAGTTTAAAAAATACAATCAAATCTACTTCATTAAATCTAAGTAGATTCATGTGGGTCTGTGTATGTCATATAACATATATTCGTACCTCAGAAGATCTATTTCTATATTTTAAAGTCTCAGTCAAGATAGTTGGTGATCAAGCTAGTGACTTTTTTCAAGAGTCCTAACAAACTTGCTCACCAAGGATTTGTCCCAGAATTCCAAGGAACCCACTCCATGGTTACTAAGTAAAAAAAGTACTATGATTTAAGGCCCTTCCAGCAGTAATTTAACAAAAGGGAGAATATGTTAGCTAACACAATTTAAGGAATCTATTTTAACTCCCTTCTTAGATATTGTGACCTCAAACATAAATATCTATTTACATCCAGCCTCTGTAGGCTCCTGGTTCCTTGTCATTGTTCACTGTTGTCTTTTTATTCATGTCAAATCAATGCTGTACTATGTAGTGTAAGAAGCAGCACAGTAAAGCACAGACACGGATTTTCTGGCCTACCAGTGAAAATCAGTGGACTGCCACTTGGTGCCATTAGCTATAAGTGCTTAATAAAACCATCAAAGCGGATTAGCCCAGTTTCTCCTGGGGTACCCTTACAGCAGCATTCTTTCATTGTGAAGGTACTTGTGTGTTATTTGACAAGGCTTCTTTTGGGCTCGCTGCATAAACTTTTTTCTTTATTTATTTTGACATTGGAATTTAGTATTACATTAATAAATAGCCTTCCTGACAGAATTTTGAAGGAGTCAAAAGAGAAAAATTTGACTTTACAAAACATAAACATAAAATGCCCATTGTGCTTCCATCCCCATCCCCCACACAAACTAACTGAAAACGAGTAACTAGGGATTTCTTTAATAAATTCAATTTTATATAAAGAACAGTCATTGGGAAAGTTCTGCGCCGGAAGGAACGGCTCCTTTCAGTCCCCCTTGGTTTTCTTCATTCTTTTCAATCTCCCAAACTGAGGGTTTTGTGCCACAGCAGATGGACAGAGCACGTAGCCTGCAGCATCTTCCTGTGACAGCCCAAGCCTCCCTCCCAGCACTGCTGTTAGTAAATAGATTTACACATTCTCCAATCTCCACACATCTTTCTGCCGAATAATTAAAAGCAGGATGATTAGTTTATTGAGTGGAAGGAGGAACTTTTTTATTGAGGTCCATCCACGATTTTATCAGGGCCAGCACTTTTACGGTTGTCGTGGGGGCACAGCCATCCAATTTTTCTTATCTGCCTGATTAATACAAACGCTGTTTCAGGACGCATTAATTAACAGATACAAATCTACGTTCTCATGGAAGGATCAATACAGAGAAGAAAAGAGGCATCAATGTGAATTTAGTGCTGATGATGGAGAAGGCCCACTATCGACATTTACGTGCATGGAAACTTTAAAGTTGCACCGGGGCCCCTTTGTCCCTGTGATTTACAAATTAACATTTTTTTTTCAGCCACAACAATGTTTCTCTCATTTCTTTAGGGTTTAATTAAGCAAAAAGCAATAAAATTTCATTTTTAAAGGTTGATCAGGCAATTTGTTTCTTCTGTATTGAAGGCTCTCTGTGTGTGTGTGTGTGTGTGTGTGTGTGATGCATTCTGCAAACCCAACTTTTCCCTTTCATGTCTCTGTGAAATAAAGAAGGAGAAGAGGTAAAGGAAGGTACTTTTTACACAGATTTGACAAATTTGCTTACTTGACATCTTCTAGTCTTTTTTTCAGTTGATTAAAGTAGTGTGATCTTCACAAAAGCATCAGGAAAAAAGAATGATCCATGCTTATAAGATAAGAGTCAAGATTTCTATGTCCTCTTGGCCTAGAAATCCTTCTCACATTTTAATTCTTTACTAACACACTGCTGCAGTCCGGAGGGTATAAAGGCTTTTCTACTCAAATGCCTGGGCAGTACTCAATCTTGCCACAAAACTATCACATCCCTCTCATCTAGGGGCCAAATACACAATACTTTGTTTCCATTCACAAAGCTATTATTATTTGTTTAGTTAATTGTTTATTATGTTTTTTTAATCTATTTATTGAGATCTGGTCTTGCTATGTAGCCCAGGCTGACCTTGCACTTCCACAGCTCAAGCTGGCCTTGAACCTGTAATCCTCTTGCTCCTCTCCTGAGTGCTAGGATTATGCACAGGTACCATCATGCCTGGCTTTCCGTAAAATTCTTTTCACTCTCCCTTTCGGATGACTGGCTGTGTTGTACTTCCACAAAGACATGAGAATGAAAATCTTTACCAAGAGATGAGAGCAAAGGATCATCGCCAATGGCCAGGAACTAACTGAGAATGCCTGTGCTAACAAACAGAGGCTAAGGAATTCTTTAAAAACACAATTGCTCTATTGGTTCACATGTGCTTTCCTCCAAATGATAATTACTGGTTTGTGCTCTTACTGGGCATTTCAGGGTGTTTTATAGTGACCAGGCTACAAGTGGAAATACTTGTCATCCATAACATGTCGCTATCAGTGGCAAGAAACCTTTCTCCCAGGTGAAATGGAATGGGCTTTGCCTGGTGTCCCTTGAACTTCCTGTTCTGTACCTCCTGGCGTGTGGCAGGTTACAATTTCCAACGTTCAGCCCTAAGACAGCTTCTTAAAGTACACCATAGCACATTATTTTTCCTTTCCCCAGCTGCACTTCCTTCCACAGATATCGCTGACAACTCTGATCTCTCTTCATCTCTGTCCTGGAGTCAGTGCCATTTAATGTACCTCAGGCATTTTACTTAGCAGAAGGACTCTCTAGCCTGACCCGCAGTTAAATAGCATGTTTATCTGCAATACAGTACGCTCCAAGTAAACCAGATGACAGTCAAGAATAACATCCTTTGGAAGGACTGAAAAGCTTCTCAAGAGGCAGGTGCCCCTGAGGTAGCAGGCTCAAGGAAAGCAGCTTTCCGCCAACCTTCTTACTTTCTTCAGCTAGAAACTTTGGGGCTTCACAGTGGTGCCACGGGTCCTCATCAGGAACAGGTTTTTACATTTTTTTCAGCCTGGCAAACTGATGCACTTTACAGTCAACTTACAAAAAAGGCTAAGCATTTGGAAGTGTGAAGGGCAAAAAAATCTGACAGCTAGTCTTCAAAAATACACTTTCATTTCAGAAAGCATAAATGTTTATTTCCTAAATGGAGTGTTGACAGAAATAGGCTGCAGCACAGGCATTTGGTTTTAACCCCTGCTAGGCATTTCCTTGTCGGATGCTTTCTTGGAACATAAAGCAGATGTTTTAAATCTTCAGGGTATCTGTTAATATCAGTTAATCATGGCATTGATTTCCCTGCTTTGAACTCTAGCTTCTCTGTTCCACAAAATCATAATAATAATAAATAAAAAAATAATTGACATCTTTCAACAAATAGCATATATCATTCTGCAATCACTACTGAGCTATGGTGATTCACTTAGATGACAAAGCTCATTGGAGAATGTAACCCAGGCAAGATCTTCTCACGTCTATACAAACCAACCTGGTGTTTCTAGGACCTAGGGAAAAGTAAACACTAAGGTTCTGTGTTCAGGACTAGTAAATGCTCAGATTCCTACCCCTTATTAAAGATAACTCACTGCATTCATAAGCCAGTTGCTTTTTATACATATTGACAGATATTATCACTTGTTCTGTGAATCAGAAAGAGCATAAATCTGGGTCTTGTTGGTCCTGGAGAGAGTTAGATGTGTGTGTGTGTGTGTGTGTGTGTGTGTGTGTGTTTGTGTGTGTATTAGAGTGGAACTGACTGTGCATGTGCATTTCTGTGTGTGTATGTGTTTATGTGT